CAAGCAACCTATTTGCTTGGTCGATACTGAATAGCCTTTGATTTATTTTGTCCTCTGTGTATGTCTATGCACAAGAGTCTTGGAGATGTTTTCTCCTCTATTGTCAGGTCCATAGTGAATATGCCCTACTCCTATTCCAGTTTTTCCCCCCTTTCTTTTCCTGTTCTTCCCTTTTCCTCCTGTTGTGGAAATTTTACTAGGATGTGTTTTTAGTGTATTGTAATATTTTGTCATTAGTCTCTTAGTGTCTAGGTAAATAGGCACTGGGGGTTAAACCATTGGAGTGGATATCTTATGCGTGGCGGAGCAGTGTCTTCTTGGCGAATGTATGGACGCCGGCTAGGGCCCCCCATGCAATGCATGGATTTATTGGCTTGCGTGGATACATTTGTTTGGAACGCAGTATAACGTGCGTTTATTGTCCCTAGTGCGTCTGATCAACCGCTGGAGATAATGACGTTGCCTGAAATTACGCACGCATGAGAATCACAGTAACGTTATGTGGCATTGATCACCGAGCAATGCTGGATAAAGTACACTCCGGTGGTAATAGATTATTCTACTACATGTGATTATTCTACTAATGTGTTTTGTTAGCTGGCTCCTGTTCACTTCCTGTCTGCCCCACTTCCTGGTTTGCTGGTTGTTGAAATCATCTGCTGGTTTGTTATCACTTCCTGTCTCGCTGTTTGAGACATCCCTTCCTGTCTGACATCACTTCCTGTTGGGCAGGTATAAAACAATAAACATACCTGTTCTCTGGCTCTCTAAGCATGGGATTATCAAGCAAGCAGCATCTGTCTCTGGTGTCCTGACTCTACATTGACTCTGGAAAGGGATACTTCCAGTCCTCGCACAAAAGAGCGTAGTACAACGGGGGAAATTCTTTGTGTTTGGCGCAGCTTAATGATTTGTGCGTTGAACCAAGCGAATTTCCATAACACTCCCCTTCTCTTCCACCATTATACTTCAGCCTTCCAGCTTCCTACTTGTTATTTCTCAGACACCTTGCCATTCCAGTTTTGGTAAATCACCTGGTTACTCGCTGACTCTTCATGGCCTTTGGTTTCCTCTCACCGATTTATCTAGCTGTCTAAGAAGCAGTTGTTGAAATGCTGTTGTATCTTTTTCCTTTTTATTTTTGTATGATTTTGAAAATCCTTCAATAAACACAAATTGCCTTTTAAAAAAGCCCAAAAAACACTAGTTAGCCCCCAGTAGCTTTTCTAACAATAAAAATCACTAAGAAACAATTGGATCTTCACACAAATTCTAGTCAGGAGCTTTAGCTGCCAACAACCCAAATACATTACCTGACCCATCATATCTAACAGAATCAAAAATTTACCTCCCTGAACACTAAGGAAACCTACTGCATCAAATCCATCATACAATGTGAAACAGGCTATGTGATATTCCTGTTGGAATACCTTTCTTAGGAAGTATCCATTTCACAAAATAACAACACTAGCTTTGATAATCCTTCAAAAGTAATTGCAGTAATTGCTGCAAAAGGGGCCCAAACCAAGTACTGAGTACATATGCATGCTTGTACTTTTCAGAGGTCCGATATTGTTCTATGTACAATCCTTGTTTTATTGATTGCATGTAATCTACTTTTTTGAGGTTGTGGATTTGGGGTGGTTGGGGTTTTCATGAGCTGTAAGCCATAATCATCACAATTATGACAAATCACGGCTTGAATTATCTTGCTTTGCATGTAATGAGTCTATCTCATAAGTTGCATTAGTGAAATAAATGAACTTTGCACGATATTCTAATTATTCGAGTTTCACCTGTATATGTATCGACACACCGAACTATTGCTATTATTTTGTTTGTCTATTATCCTCATTACCACAGCTATTGTATTTTATGGATCACTCAGGAATTTGTTTTGTATTCATATTGCTTTTATTAGAAATACTCAGCCTCTTATTTCACCATTCTCAATTTTACTGTATGCATATCACCTCTTATCTGGAACATATTACCTCTCATGTTATAGCTTTATTGTAGCCCTAGAGTTAAACTGCATGCATTCCATTCCTCATTTTATAGTACATCCATTCCATTGTCAAAACTTCATTCCATTCCATTGTCAAAACTTCAATTTTACTGTTATTTCTTATCTTTTGAAGTCTATTCTTCTTATATTATGGTTCATTTTATTCTTTATTTGAGTGTATCCTCTTATTCATAGTTTATTTAAACCTTAAAAGCCAAGTTTACTTTTCTGACCATGTTTCATGTAACAAACATATTCAGGGTAGAGCCCTACTGTTAAAAAAATATTAATAAATGCACACATTCATAAAAGAAAACTTACTTTTTTGAATTGGAGCCAATAAAGCATTGAAACTGCAGTCAGTAGATCACGGTTGCAAAGTTCTGGCTCCTACAGACTCTCTCTTCCTGTAGTCCCTATCCATATAGCGTTTCGGGCATTCAGTTTCAATGATGGGTGGAAATATGAATTAATTAAAAATGCAGTGATGTCATTGATTTAAGGTTCCTCTGGGGAGAAGAGCACAGCTATTGAGATAATGGGGGTTGGGATGGGCTGACAGTGTGACCATGTTACATCCTGAATATGGGTGTAACATATAAAACATGGTACTAAAGGTAAACTTAGTTTTTAAGATATTACTTGAACAGTCTTCTAGTTCATAGCTCTTATTCTTAGATATATTTTGGCTCCCAAAGTGATTGATAAACCTATTACAAAGTGATTATTCAAGAATACATTTTTAAATGTACTGCTTGGAAATTGAATGTAACTAATCTAAAAGTAGAAAAACTAAGTTTTTATCTACACATACAGGGAAATCATACTAAACTGACACTTTTATAACATGGTGCTTAAGGTTTGTTGTTTACCTTCTGCAATGTCCATGTGGTCTATCAAATGTTGAGCAGACCCCACTGTCATTGCAGATATGTTTGGGAGAGCATATGACGTATATCACACAATGTGAAAACATATTGACTTCATTCGAATTTTGCCTTTGAATTTCATAAAAGAATCTGGTGAAACTTAAGGTTTGGGGATTGCTGATCTAAATCTGCACTGGAGGGGTTGTAAACAAAAAAGAGAAGTTTCAAAGTGTGAGACACGCTGAATCTTTAAAAGTTATGTGCCCCTTGATTTGAATGTTCAATGGGATGACATTAGTTTCCTGTTAGGGCTTGATCACGCCAAATCCAGTGCGTTCCAGCAGGGTTAGTGGCTGGAACACACTGGATAACATAGAGCAAGCCTCTCTGTGTTCTGGGGTGGATAACATAGAGCAAGCCTCTGTGTTCTGTGGTGCATTCAAGTAAATGGCACTGCAACCATGTCTCCTGCCCAAAGTAAGATAGCTTGCATTAGAATGCAACAGTCCGTTGCGATCACAAAGAATAGTGCATTTCATTGACTAGAATGGCACCGCCATGCCCCTTCCCCCCAGATCGCAGGAGACTTTCATTATGCAATCCAGTGTGTTCCAGCCACTAATCGTGCTTGATTGCACTGCATTTGGTGTCAACAAGCCCTAAGAGTTAATTTTACATTTTGTTTTATAGCATGTGAGGCTTCAAGGCATCAGCACCTAATTATGCCCTTTTGAGTGAGCCGAGTTGAATGGCTTTTAGAGCCTTTGATGTCTCATGCAATAACCACTGTAAGATGTGAGTGCTTTTTATGTATGCTGTTATTATTAAATATTAAGATGTTACTTTTTGACTTTATACTGAAAAAAATGTTTTCTCACCTACAATGCCTGACTATGGGAATGTAAAAAGTTGGTGTTCTGTACTGGTCTATAGGATCACTAACCAACTGGGACAAGATATCCCCGCAAGCACTTAGAACATTGAGGTCTATTGTTCCAGTGTAGTGACCTAAAGATTTTGGGTGGAGGTTACTGTTTTTTTTTCCCTTTTTAGATTTGGCACTTTTGCAATATAGAGTTATAACAGAGAAACGTGCCACAGACACTGCTATCATATGACAGACTTCGCTTTACAAACAGAAAAGCAGTACCTGAGGCAGCAAGTCTAAAGGTTTTGATGCAGGGGGTGTACAGGGGATGATGCTGCCAGTGGGATGACAGCAGTCTGTATCTGAGGGCAGTTATGAGGCACAATAGATGGAGCAATTAAGCATGCTGCAATCATCCTTTCAGAGTTCAGAATTAGCTTCAACAACCCTTGGCCCAAAGATGAAATTAGAGAAATCTAATGCCACTAAAGAAATCATAGAACCACTCAGAAACCAGCCTACTCACCAACAGCAGAAGTGTATCTTGAGACTATAATAAATCTCCAAGTCAGGGACTTTGAAAAAGGAAAATAACACTTTATATCACCTTGTTTACCACTATATTAATACAAGTTTAATAAAGATAATGTATGAGAATCTTACCCATCCCACATTAGATGACTTTCCCCTTTTAAAAACTCCATGAAAGGGAAATGCAAAATCTTGCTCCTCTTTACACTATACAAATCGGGGAAATTCATTTTAGTAAATTCATTATAGTAATTAGTATGAAATTCAGGTAGATTTATTTTATTTGAGTGACAAAAAACAATGTAGAGGGACAAGGGCAGAATTAGTCATATGATGGTTGGGGTTGGAGCTCAGTGAATCAATTTGTTCATTTGTTTAAGTTCTATGTTAACACAAACCTCTAAATATGAAGCACACATCAAATGGAAGACCGCCGCTTACAAGTCCACAGTCTCTCCGGGAGCAGGTGTGGGATGAATAGAGCTTGTCAGCACTCCCAACAGGTGATGAACAGATAGAACTAGATGCGCTCTGATATCAGAAGCAAAACTTTATTGTTGCAGACAATGAGTCTACCCTGACCCTCCTACCTCTGATGCATTTCATGCAAACAGTATTTAACTGTAGAGAATGTAATATGATGATTAGAATTAGTAAAGCTACTCAATGACCTCTATAACACTTGTTCATATGTCACAAAATGTGATTTTTATCATCAAGAATTTCAAAACCTTTTTAATTACCGAGTAAAATAGGTTGTAGCATCAGCTTCGGAATCTTGTGGGCGCAAAGCATCATACACATACTTCAAATCCTGCAGGTCAGATAACTCTGGAATACCACATGACAGCATCTAAAAGCAGGGACAGAGGTGAGACCTTAACTAGATAGTGCTGGCTGAGCAAACTGACCTCAGTGTAAAAAGTATATTCAATAGCATGTTTTTTTAAAATGTAATACTTTGATCCGTATAACTCGATCTAAGTCCCAAAACATTTTAGACCTTTACTAAATATTGTCTTTTTCAGTGTACATTATAATGAATATTAGAAAATGATTAAAGTAACATATAATCAGAATATATTAGTTTTTTGAATTTGAATATACCAGCATCCTTCTCTGTTAGTTTGGTTAGCTTACCAGTCCCAGTAGGTTGAGAAATAAGTGGGTATGCTTCCGGATGAGATTGTAGGCTTGACAGCACAGATCAACAAAGTCATGGAATCGGCTTGATGTCTTGTCTCCTCCATTTATGACATATGCCATGTCTGAAGTGAACACAAATGGAGCACGGTCCCTGCAGTTTAGAAATAACATATATGTTTTTTCCTTTTAAAATTGAATCAATTTTAAAATTGCATTTACAGCCATTATTTTAGGTAGTGTGCAGAAACCTTTAATATAGTGGAATGTTTTATGGCAATTCTTTTGTCTTGGGAATATGTTTGTAACATATATGTGATTTCACATTAAAAAAAATAATAAAATGTTTTCATTTCTATGTAATTTATAAATGGGTTAAACAGTAAGCGGCCCAACACTGAACCTTGGGGGACACCACTAACAACCTCAGACCATTCAGAGTATGAATCATTGATCACCACTCTCTGAATACGGTCTTTAAGCCAGTTTTCTACCCAATTGCAGATGGAATGCTCTATACCTGTGTCAAACGCTTTTGCAAAGTCCAAGTATACTATATCCACAGCCATTCCTCTGTCCAGTTTATTACTCACTTCCTCATAAAAAGAAAGTAGGTTTGTTTGACAACTTCTGTCTTTTGTGAATCCGTGCTGACGATCGCTTATTATATTATTTTCAAGCAAAAAACAAGTGCATGTGATCCTTGATCAAACTTTCAAGTATCTTCCCAACTATTGAAGTTAAACTTACAAGTCTGTAATTACTTGGTAAAGACTTTGATCCCTTTTTAAATATAGGCACTGCAGGTGTAGCCCCAATGCAAGGGTTAATACAAGATAAAAGAAAGTTGGGCAGACAACTAAAGTGGTCAATAAAAGGATGTTTACTGAGGTAAAGGCTGAAGCCAAAACATACCTAGCCCAGAGGGAAGGGCAAACAAAGTATGTCCCAACCAAGACCAATTAGTGAACAGCTAGTGGTTGAAGTAGAACACCCAAAACCCTTGACTTCAGGGAAAAAGAAAGGAATAAATTAAAGGCAGAGAGGGAAAGAGACCTTCAATGTGAAAAAAGACGGGAAGAGTAGCAAGACCTTCTTAAGACAGGGGTGGAGAATCAACACATCTATATACAATGAAAAGGAAGTGAAGATGTACTCTATGGATGTACAGGGATCTCAGAACCCGAAGGATAAGAAGGAGACCTTCCAACTCGCATACATTTTTGATTCGGTGTTCTGTGATAGTCACAATACAACCTGTTTGAGAAAGATGTTCTTTCTTCCAGAAACTAGGTTCCATAAGGACTTCCAAATTTTACAGTTTCTCACCCAGGGGAATACTGCAGTCAAATAATATAGTGGTGTGTCTACTGATCTTCAAGAAAAAAAACACTCTAAGAAGATCAATATTTCCTTGTGATGAAAGAAAAGTGGCATTTGTTAATAGAAACTCCACTGTATAAGGAGGGAAAAATTCAGATGCAGAGATCCGTAGAGAAGACTTTGAGTCCTACATAGAAATAGTGGGGACACTAGATCACCAATGCTGTCCAGTGTAAAGAGGCAGACATTTGTCTGTGCTTGTTAGAGTGTTCAATTTCCACTGCAAAATGAATTACTGTAAACTCTGAAGAAGTACAGAGGATCACCTTAAAATTGACTCATATGAAGACTCCCTCAGGACTTGAGATGCTATCTGTTGCATAGAACCAACTAGTTAGAATGTTTTTCTAAGATGAAGGAAAGTGAAATTGGGATAATCCCCACCCTCTACAAAGACTAGCAATAGATAATGGGATTTGTAAAAAATAAGGACTATTTTTGCGTGTCCCAATCCAGATACTGTGAATCAAGATGAGAGGAAAAATGGTACTAAGGGATATGAAAAAGTAGGGTTCTCATCAATTCCAGAACCCCAAAAAGGGGTAAATGGGATAGCAACTGCTATACTCAAATAGCAGAGAGGAATAACAGAAGTCGTAGAATGTTTAGGCACTGACAATTTTTGTGAAAGTTTATTAAGCATTTACCAATAGGAAGCTATAGTGTAGAGGTAAAACAAGTGCTGCAAGAGTTCCAAATCCCCAGAACATTTAATAAAATATAATCCATATTCAAGGAAAATGGCAGGAAACTAATGTCTATGGACCTTGTAGGACAATAAAATCCTTTAGAAAGAGATAGTTGTAAGGAGAGAAAAGCACTACAAGCAGTGCAAGCATCCAAATCTCAATAGACAAAAAGGGAAATAGTATGTGCTAAGATATACTCCAGTCAACAAAGGATGTTTCTGTGCAAAGGCTATACATTTGTGGGTTTGTAAAGTGGGGTAAAATCCATAAAAAAAAAAAAAAAAAAAAAAAATTACTTGGCTGCAGGAACAAGAGTAGAAGCTATAGGCGGAAGCACAGACATAGACCTGTGCTGAAGCAGGCAATCAGAGCAAAAATCAGGAAGTTTGGTCATGCCACTTTTGAGTGCATAGCCAAAAAGGTGTCTCTCCTCGTATACCATGCAAATAGGGCGTTGTTTATAAATATTTTTCATGTCCCAGGCATGTAGCCAAAGTGCCCTGAGCATATGGACAGACATTACTGCCATACCAGACACCACCTTGAATGCTTTTAAGAGACCATCATAACTGAAAAGGAGGGCTTTAGAAAAATGCTCAACAAGATGCAAAGCTTAAGTGCCTTGTTTGGTGTTAGAGGAGTCCCTCTTAAAAGATTGTTATGGAAATTCGCTTGGTTCAACGCACAAATCCATGTAGCATTAAGCTGCGCCAAACGCAAAGAATTTCCCCCGTTGTACTACGCTCTTTTGTGCGAGGACTGGAAGTATCCCTTTCAGAGTCATGTAGAGTCAGGAGACAGATGCTGCTTGCTTGATAATCCCATGCTTAGAGACCTGAGCACAGGTATGTTTATTGTTTTCTACCTGCCCAACAGGAAGTGATGTCAGACAGGAAGGGGTGTCTCAAACAGCGAGACAGGAAGTGATGGCAAACCAACAGATGATTTCAACAACCAGCAAACCAGGAAGTGGGACAGACAGGAAGTGAACAGGAGCCAGCTAACAAAACACATTAGTAGAACAATCACATGTAGTAGAATAATCTATCACCACCGGAGTGACTTTATCCAGCATTGCTCAGTGGTCAATGCCACATAACGTTACTAGGATTCTCATGCGTGCGTAATTACAGGCAACGTCATTATCTCCAGCGGGTTGATCAGACTCACTAGGGACAATAAACGCACGTTCCTTTCATATACTGCGTTCCAAACAAATGTATCCACGCAAGCCAATAAATCCATGCATTGCACGGGGGGCCCCAGCCGGCGTCCATACATTCGCCAAGAAGACACTGCTCCGCCGCGCATAAGATATCTACTCCAATGGATTAACCCCCCAGTGTCTATTTAAACCGAGACACTGAGAGACTAATGACAAAACATTACAATACACTAAAAACACATCCTAGTAAAATTTCCACAACAAGATGTGATCTACTGAGACATGATTTAACAAATTAAAAGGCACCACCAACAGTGGATGGAGAGTAGTTACAGTTTATTCAAACTGAGATTCAAATAGGGAGTCTAACTGGTTGTCAGTGGAGTCCCTAACTATCAACTAGCATTAAAGGAGAACTATGAGGTGAGTGCTTTTCACTCACCTCATAGTTCTAGCCGACCTGTGACAATGAGACTGTCACAAGTCGGCTCAGTAGATCGGGAGCTGAGCAAACACATACCGGTGTTCGCTCACTTCTCGATCCTGTCACAGCTCTCTGCCGTGACAGGGGAGGGGATGGATTCCTTCCTTCCCCGCTCCGATCCACCAGCGCTGACTGGCGGAACGGGCGGGGGAGGGTACAGCTGGCTCTGCCTCTAGATAGGCAGAGCCAGCTGTCCACTCACGCAGCTGGGCGGATCTCGACATCTATGTCGGGATCCGCTCTGGCTGCAGTGTCTCAGTATACCGCGAGCTGTAGCTGGCGGTACACTGAGCTTAGGGTGACGGGAGGACGCTAGTTTGTGTCCACCCGTTACCCTAAGGAGAACTATGGGGAAAAGCCCTGACCCCATAGTTCTCCTTTTAAGGTAAAGGCCTGAAGAGTCCACCACAGGGAAGGACAATTGAGGAACTGTTCTTAAACAGGAGATATAGGGAAGGTCTCTGCCTTAGTGCAAAGAGTCAAAAGACCCTATACCGGACACCGCAGGTTCATGCCCTAGGCACAAGGTAGGGCATGCTGCATCCATGGGATTCGAAAAAGGTTTATTAGAAACATGATTAAATACAATTTCTGCAGGAGAAGGCTGTGACGTTTCTGAATTTGAATAAAAAGTAAAGGTAGGGGCCCTTAATAGATTTTTCCATAGATGGCACTGAGGTATGTAATGAATGTCTGCAAGCAGATTGTTTCATTTACCAGCATCAGATGTTTTTTTCCATCAGTATCAGACGAAGACGGACGAAAAGACGCAAGGATGGACGTAAGAATCGTGTAGGAGGACCAGATCACGAGTGGGAGAGAACAGAGCTGCCAGATCACGTCGTATGAAAGAAAGGAGGGGGGACAATGAATTGTAAATTTGTATTTGCGTTAGTGTTTTCAGGGATTGTAGAGGGGGGCTAGATTGAGTAGAGGGAAGGGGGGAAAGTGATTTAGGGCTAAAATTGAACCTTAGTAAAACTAAACCCAGGGCAGCAGTGTAAAAAAACCCACAAGATATAGTGTTATTTAAAGTCAGAACCATAACAAATTAAATTAACCCCAGAGACTTAGTGTAAATAAGCCCAGGAATAAAGCATTAGTTAACCACCGGGAGGCAGTGTAATCAAATTAAACCCAGGGCTTTAAAGTAATTAACTACAGGGTAAATCACTAAAATCATATGAACTCAGGGGCATTAAGAATAAACATTTAATAGAAAAATAGCCCTCGTCAGCAGCACTAAAATAATTATTAGCGAAATAGTGTTACGCCTACTGTAGGTGTTCGGAGTGGAGCGCAACTGCGGAGGGGATTTGCAGGAGGTGTGGATAATAGGCTTCTCAAGCGTGAGTCTTAGGCGTTGCTCCCAGTCTTAAAGGGGAGTTTGAGACTCTTGCATCACAGCCAGTATTAAAGGAAATATAAGTAGG